ACCCCCACTCAGCCTCTCCCCACTTATTTTTATCCCATTTCAACCTCTCCCCATCTATTTTTTCCCTTTTTAACCTCTCCCCACTTATTTTTTTCCCTTTTTTCCCTTTTCAGACTTATTTTTTCCACTTTTCAACCCCCACTCAGCCTCTCCCCACTCATTTTTTCCCCTTTTCAACCTCTCCCCACTCATTTTTTCCCCTTTTCAACCTCTCCCCACTTATTTTTTCCCCATTTCAACCTCTCCCCACTTATTTTTTCCCCATTTCAACCTCTCCCCTCTTATTTTTTCCCCTTTTCAACCTCTTCCAACCTCTTTTTTCCCCATTTCAACCTCTCCCCACCTCTTTTTTCCCCATTTCAACCCCCACCCCTCCTCTCCCCACACAACTACAACTGTTCTGATTGATTTTTGTCCCCCTTTGCCTTTTCCTTTCCAGGGTGCCTCAGCTTTATTCGACATGATCGAATATTACGAGTCAGCAACTCACCTCAACATCTCTTTTAACAAACACATCGGGACCCGAGGTTGGCAGGCAGCTGCCCACATGATGAGGAAGGTTTGTGTTCATTCACAATTGATTTTTCACACCCATTTTAACCCCCCTTTTTTTATTGCACGATACTGAAATTCACTCATTCACCCATTTCCCGTCACTGTAAATGTGGTTTTTTTGTGTGTTCACCTCTTTGGAAAATCATTTAATTCAGAAATAACTGATTAAAACCAAAAAGCAGGGGGGAAAAAATAATAAATAAATCAACTTTTCCACTTAACAGTGAAGCAGAGAAAATGGAAATGCCAATCCCAATAACAACAATGCAAATAAAAAAGAGCAGGTTATTCTTCGCGCCGCGCTTGGCGGGTCAACCTCTCGTCTAAGGTGCTCATTAATTATCCAACAGGATGATTAATGCCACTGTTTGGTTTTACCAGGGCTAATTAACCTCATTGTTTTTAAATTTACTCCAAAAGCCAAGCTCAGAGGAGGTGACACCTCATGCTCCTCGCTCGGGGCGCGGCGTAAAAAACCACCCTCCATCCTTTAATTACCTCTCGACCTGTTAATTAGCATTTTGGTGTCGCCCAACCTCCCCCCCCTGCTGTGTTGCTTAATTTTAATTGGGAAAATTAATTGGGGTGCCTGGTATAACGTTTCCCCTCCGTGGAGATGTTGTGATGGGGGCTGGTTTTAGGAATCAGTAGGGAAGTCAAAGGTCACCGCGCGGCGCTGGCCGAGCCCGTCGCGATGCTTTAAAATTGGGTGGGGTGAAAGGAGCTCGAGACACTTTTTAGGGATGATTTGTCATTTCTGGGTGGAAAAATGAAATGAGGGAGAATCCAGAGGGGTGAAAAGGTTTTATTTTAACTCAGAAAATGGTAAATCAGCCAAGCAGAGGTTGGCAGTGTGCTGTGGATCTCGAGCAAGTGTGTGCAAAGCTGGAGAAGGGGTTTAGGGCTCCGGGGCAAACCCCAGACAAGGGACATGGTGTCACCCCAAAACCCCCAGAGCTCAGGGCAGCTCCATCCTCAGGTGTGTAAGGATGAGGGAAGCTTTTCTTTGGAGAACACAGTGCTCCTGTGGCACCTGAAGCTCATCCTCCCCGGTGCTGTAGCTTGAGGGTGACGGCAGGGTCGGCGCCGAGGCGATTCCCCAGGAAATAAAACATTTTCTCTGAATATTCAGATCTTTCAAGCGTGGAGCTGGGTGTGAGCTGCCCTGGTGTTACCTCAGCAGCTCCTTTTGGTTCTTTATCTCTTCTCAGAAGCCCAAAATGATGGTTGAGATGAGTGTAAATCATCCCAGGAGCTCTTACCTGAGCGACCCCGCAGGCAGCGGCGCTGGCTGGGATGTCACACGGCTCGTGGAATCATTTGGCTTTAAATTTAACCTAGAGAAACCAACCAAAAACACCCACCAAACCCCATCAGCCGAGGTTGTGAGGAGCTGAGCACTGATCCCACTCGTGTTTCCTTCCCAGACAAACTGCCTGCAGTACCTGGATGCCAGAAACACTCCCTTGCTGGACCACTCGGCTCCCTTCGTGGCCCGCGCCCTGCGGATCAGCAGCAGCCTGGTTGTCCTGCACCTGGAGAACACCAGCCTCTCGGGACGGCCCCTCATGCTGCTGGGTGAGTTCCTGGAGAGCCAGCACCAAGCTGGGGCATCCACAGCACCCACTTGTCTCCCAAAACACGGTGGGATACCCGAGCACACTGGGATCGCCGTGCTGGTGATGTATGGTGAGGTCTCAGGGTGGTTGATGCTGGTGTTGGCAGCGTGGCAGCACTGGTATCTGTCCCAGGTTGGGTGATCTCCCCTCGTTAAGCTAATGAATTAGTTACCTAGATATTAGGAAGAAATTTTTCACCCAGAGGGTGGTCAGACAGTGTCCCAGGTTGGCCAGAGAAGCTGTGGCTGCTCCTCCCTGGAAGTGTTGGAGGCCAGGTTGGATGAGGCTTTGAGCAACCTGGATGAAGATGATCCAAGAGCTGCAGCATCTCTCTGGTGAAGAAAGGTTGAGGGAACTGGGCTTGTTGAGCTTGGAGAAGAGAAGGTTCTGGAGAGACCTCACTGTGACCTTCCAGTGCCTGAAGGGAGCTGAGGAACAGGAGGAGAACGACTGTTTCCATGGGCAGATGGTGATGGGACAAGGGGAGATGGTTTGAAACGGAGAGTGTAGAGATTGAGGTTGTATATGAGGAGGAAATTTCTCGCCCAGAGGGTGGTGAGACCCTGGCCCAGGTTGTCCAGAGAAGCTGTGGCTGCTCCTCCCTGGAAGTGTTTGTGGCCAGGTTGGATGAGGCTTTGAGCAACCTGGTCTAGTGGAAGGTGTCCCTGCTGCTGGCAGGGGGGTTGGGACTGGATGAGCTTTGAGATCCTTCCCAACCCAAACCAGTCTGGGATTCTATGAGTTAGTGATAAATCACGGCCAAGCCGGAGCCACCGGCGGTGCTGGCGAAGCCGCGTGTCCCACTTGAGTTGTGACACCAGCTCCAGTCACCAGTGAAACCCCTTTTGTGCCACCACGAGCTGCTGCCACCTCCCTTTGCAGGCAGGAGGGTAAAAAAAGGGGCTCGTGGAGAATCCTGCTCCTGGCCAAACCCCTCGGAAACCCACCCAGGGGATTTCAGCTGTGGGTGCCCCCGAGCCCACATGTGCTGTGGAAGCTGTGACAGTGGGGACACCCCAACCAGCAACACCTCATCTCTGAGCTGTCCCAGCTCGGGGTGTGGGTTGAGGTGCTGGTTTCTCACCTTTCCAGCCACAGCTCTGAAGATGAACATGAACCTGCGGGAGCTTTACCTGGCTGATAACAAACTGAACGGGCTGCAGGACTCGGCTCAGCTCGGCAACCTGCTCAAATTCAACTGCTACATCCAGATCCTGGACCTGAGGAACAACCACATCTTGGACTCAGGTGAGGGATCCTCATTGCTTTTTTTAAGCAGAACCCCTAAATCCACAGAGTTTTCACCCAGTTTTAAGACAGGGATGAACTCCCACAAATGTTAGGGGAGCCCCTGAGCTGTG